TCCCCCTCTCCCTCTCTCCCTCCCTCCCTCCCTCCCTTTGAAGGGCACAATGCACAAAGGCTCTTTCTTCTTACTGCAACCCAGACAGACCTTTTTGAACACAAAGTTTTCTCCCCCACCTCACTAGCGGCTGTGACTCAAGACTGAGTGATAGACGCACTCAGACCCAGGCCCTCGAGCGGGGATCCGGAGATGCACTCATTCATTCGTTGGTGCGCGCGCGCGCGCACAAACACACACACACACACACACACACACACACACACACACACGCATCTGCTCCAAGTCTCTACCTCTCTCCAGGTTGGACAACCAGACAAAAGCGAAACCCCCAGACCACTGCGCTGAAGTCGGGTCAGACTTAGCTTTGGGAAATTTATAAGATGACCTCCATCTTGGTTGTTTCAATAGTCAATTCTTCTAAAAATAATTTTAAGTTGAACATATATACAGCCCTCCACCCAACCTCAAGGCTTTTCTGCTGTGCTGCTGCGCCTGGTTCTCCATGGCACCAGCTCCCTTTCAGCAATCCAAGGAGCACGCAGGGCTCTGAAGTCTACGATCCGATTTAGAGGACAGTCGTGGGTGACCGGCCGCTGCTAAGGGCTTGTATTGGAGATCTTTCCTGATGTCCAAGGCCATCTCTCAGGAAAACAGAGTTTGAATGAAGTCTATGTGAGCCCAGCTGTCAAATCTGCAAACCCATCATAGCAGACAATGGGCCGCCACGAAGGACAGAAAAGAAACACTCTTTTTTGATCAAGGGGGTTAATTGAAAAGGGGACGGGCTTTAGTTGAAGTTTGAGGCCATGGTGTAAGGGTGGGGAGAACAGGAGGAGGGATGGGTAGCTCTCCTTTCAACTTCATGTCAGCCAGGAGTGACCCTCAGCTGCTAGTGTGCTGCGCATTGTTTGGAGCCACCAAAGAGTGTCTGCACTTCGGTGAGCGCCCCAAACCCTGGGGACATCCCACCAATCCACGCTCTTCCTTCGCCACGCACGTGGTCCTCAGGGACAGGTAAGGCGAAGCTGATGCCTTCATCAGGAACCCCTCCCCCAACATCACTGGCAATCACACCAGACACAGATTTCCAGTTCAATGTATCAGTTTACACTCGGTTGTAGCCCGTAAACAATGCAAGCATATGTCACATTTTTCTCGACAGATGGTTCAAACCAAAGGCTACTTAAATTCTCTAGCAATAGTCCAAATTACAGGGTGGACTTCTATGGGGACACAAAATTGAGTCTTCCAATTAGTTTTGGGGTTTTTTGTTGTTGTTGTTTTTGCGTGTTTATTCCCTTATTTTCACATACCAAGGCAAAAATCCTGGGGAGGTAGTTTTTAGTGGGAAGAAAGCTGGAAATAAGAGTTTATCTGAAGAACCCCATGGACACCCAAAGTGTCCAATCCTTTTCCCTTGTTCCCCTTCATAAATGGAAGCAAATATCTTTCTCTGGGGAAATGCTTATCTTTGCTGACCACTTGGGATGCTTGGAAGACAATGAAGTTTGTTTAATCCATCAACCATGTCTTTTCCAAGTACTCTTTGTTTAGAAAATACTCTACATATTCTGAAGAAATATTTTAAATCAACTTTGAACAGAGTGGAAGGAAAAGGCAGTCCTAAAATTTCTCCAAATGTAGAATATAGAACTTATTTGAAAATATTTACATCTTCAAGAGTATTTCTGACTCTTCCTCTTCCTAATCCTTAAGTTCTTACTGATGATGTAAGTAGACATCTGGGGCGGGGTGGGGGGGGCGTTTGTTTTTGTTTATTTTTGTTTATGTGTGTATCTCTGTATGGGGGGAGTGCGCACGCTCCTAAGCATAAGCATGTGTGCAGGGGTCCCACGAAGGCCAGAAGAGGGCATCAGGTCCCGGGAGCTGGAAAAGTTACAGGTGGTTGTAAAGAACCATGTGGATACTAGAAACCAAACTCAAGTCTTCTCAGAGACCAGCAAGCACTTTTAACTGCAGAGCCATCTCTCCAGCCCCTAGATTTTTGTTTGTAAAATAATAATAAACCTCTAGCTGCTATAACTGTGTTGATCAATACAAAAATCACTAACTTCAGGACTACTTCAGTGAAATTAATTAAAGTTAAATACAAGATAAATGCAGTTCCTCAGCAGCAATAACCAGTGGTCATGTGTGGCTACTGACTACTATTTTGGGTAGTACAGATCCAGCACCTTAGAAAGATCTAGTGGACAGCTATTACCCTCGAACGTCACTGTTAAGCTAGTGAATGTGGCTTCTATCTAAAGTTCTTAGAATAATAGATCTGCACAGGCATGGAGGGAATGCTTCATGAGCAGCACCATGGCAGGAGTTGTGAGGACAGTGATGATGATGATGATGATGATGATGATGATGACGACGATGATGACAACGATGCTTTGTTATTCTCTTGAGGAAGCTGAAAATCATACTCACAAAGACACAGCCCATTTCTCTTATGTTCTCAACTCAGGATGAGATCACTGGGCAAAGAACCCAGGGAGAAGAACAAAGGACATGTCAAATTTCATCTCCCCAGAAGATCTATGAATGAAAAGATGTGGCCCATAGTCTTGCTTAAGATGTCTTAAAGTAGAAGTCAATACAAAAATAAACAAAGCAAAGCATTGCCTTACAACTGCATCTACTAACATTAAAGGTGAGAGAAGCACAGCCAGAAAGCCTTTGGCATATGGCAAGTAGGAAAGTGTTGCGACTTATTGTATTAATACTATCTGTGTTTCCTTGGAGCTTATCTCTTCCCATGTGTGTGGAACTGATTCAGGATGAAAGGTGACATTGAAATATCAAATATTAATCATTATAAAGGTTCTTGCAATCCTCTGTGACATGTTTTCTCAGTGGAAAATTGGTTTTAATGCTACAAAATTAGGTTCAATCCACCCATGAACATGTGAAGTGAGCAATCTTCTTGTATTTCTTGCCATAAGTGTATTTTCCTTAGTTAACAGATGAGTCATGGTGAGACTGACAGGTTTATTTCCTGCACCATTTTGCCTCTTCCTCTTGTTGCCTTCATCCTATAGAATAAAATGTAAAATATATTCATTTCCTAAAATTATACTGCTCAAAAGTCACTCAAGTTTTTTAATTCAAACTAGTTCATCATTTGACATTAGACTGCTTAACAGCCTTATTTCTGTCACTACACAAACCACTCACCAGTCCCCAAATGGACCATGCTTTCATTTATTTATTCGTTTCGTTTTTGCTGTTGCGCTCTGGCCTGTTCTCTTGCATCTGCTCGTGATGTGCCTCATCTTGAAGTTTCCAGGTTGTGCTTAGTTAACCAGGCCACTGAGCATAAGGGAGACCTTTGCATGGGAACTGAGGGTTCCCTATAATGTAGTCCACAGCCCCATTGGAATCTCTTCTGTATCAGTGGTGAAAGTGTATCATAGTTTGATCGGCTATCTGTCTCCTTAACTGGACTGTGAGCTCCTTGAAGGCAAGAAGATATTCTAGCCATTGTTTTTGCATCCCTAGCACTTAGACTTATGACTGACACACACTCATTCCCAATAAATGAATATTGATCGCATAAATAATGAGTGGTGCTGTTCCTCACTTTTCTTTGACACCATAATTTTACAGAAAGATTTACATGAAAATCCCTTTACTATATGAACAATGCTAAGTATAAGTACCTCATACAATTACTTGTATTGCTGCCCCAATAATAGTATCAAATATGTATTATTCCTTTGGGGATTTGACATTTAAATTTTTTAAACAAAACCCATTATTATAATAGAATGCTCTTTTTCTGGTTCACTTTAATAGCAACATATGACATATTTCATTTCAGGGAAATGATAGCTTGCCTTAGGTCATATTTTAAGGCACAAAGCCAGAAGCAGAATAGCATTCCCACCTGAAATTCTCTAATCATCTAGAAATGCACCTCTCTCTGGGAGAAGGGCCAGATTACAACCACTCTGGAGTCTTCATCTTCAAAGGCAAATTTTTAAAAGCCCAATTGGCCCAGAATTATTTTTTTTAAAAAAACTTCTATAAACACACAGTCTTCTGCAGTCTTTTAGGGAAAATGAGAAAATACCAAGCACCCAAACCAGAAAGCTGGCCAAAGATCTCACCTTTTATCACTGCACTTTAACCCTTACCCTTTGGTCATACAGGAAGAGGCAGTTACACTCAGATCTCAGAGCCCTTTCCAGGAGGACTATATTAAGATGTGTCTTTTGGACATTATTTGCAAATGGAAGTTTCTTCTAGGCTGTCAGGGTGCCTGACCCCTAGGAACCTATCTTAGGACACCTTCTTTCCTCCTATTTTTCAGATAATTTTCATTTCTGAGTACTAATAAGTCAGTGGCGAGGATTTTAATGCATTTATGGAAGAATGTTCCTGAGAATTGAAGTCATTTGTGTGTTGGCCTTCTGCCACAAAATGCATAAGGTACTCAGCCCTGATGAAATAAAGTGCCTGTCATGCCTTATTGCTAGAATATATGGCAAAAGAAACCCCATCTTCAGAGGACTTGGGAGGGTTTTCTCCTGTTTGCCAAAGGTGTTGGATTAAAAACCCTATGCATTTCCGTCTTCTTTATCCAGGTGGGATGGGAACTAGAACGCCTGCTGGCAGGAAACACCTCCTCTCAGCACCCCAAGTCTTGTTCCAAAGGGAGTGTTGCTGCAGAAGGGCAAGAGGA